CCTTCACCAGATCTGTATCTGGACAGTAAGATTGTGATGTGGTCTCCCAAGAAACAGCTAGGCTAAACCTTATTTCACGGGTCTAGAGTATCAGAACCACAACTGGTTCAAAACATAAAAGCCTATACAGATTTTGTAAAGAGAAACTGTGCCCTAAAGAAATTCCTGGAGCTCTCAAAAGAACATGTATAAAGGAGATCACATAAGTCTTCTGAAAATTCAAGTAAACATACTCAAAGACTCTCACCAACAGCTCTTAAAGCAGAAAAGGGTGCAAACTCTTCACAGGAATTAAAAAGTTTAATAACAAAAAAAAAAAAAAAAAACAAAAACCTAACAAACACACACAAACCAACAATCAACAATCCATTTTCACAGCAGAGGGAAGTTACCAGATGAGTCCCAGTGCTCTGTCCTAGGGCCTATGTAGTTCAACACATTCATAATTAAGCTGAAAACAGGGTGAAACCAAAGTGAAAGTTCACTAATGACAAAACAGAATTCACATTAGAAAAGTTAGAGGGCAATGGTAAAGAGCATGAGAAGTTGACGGAATCAGTAAAACAAATTAAATTTCACATTACAATTAACGTAGATAAATTTAACCAAAGCAAACATGAAAAAACAATTTTCATTCAACATATAGGATGACTACTACTTAGGAATTTGATTCTGGAGAAAACAGCTCCATGAACAATCGTTTAACATTCAGCAGTGCTTTCCAAAAGTGTATGCAAAGATACACCCTGTTAAGATTATGATTATCATTATATTACTGCAAAAACACATGATGTGCCTGCCTTGCTAACCCTCTGCTTCTGGTGTTCCAACCATTTTTAGTAGATCTACGTAAGGATCCTCCCTCTTATCTCATGACTGCTTGTTCGGAAGCTTCAAGCAATACACACTGTTGAACAGTCTATTTTACAGAAGCACAAGTGAAAGAGGCCCACAGAAGGACAAAGAACAGTGCCAAAGGTGTGGAGGAATGCTGAAGTAAGTTCCTCCAGGCTGCAGTCAAAACATCTGCAGAAAGATACAACTGGGATTTATTGAACTGGGAATGACATGAAGCATGTGAAGATAAAACGATTGTCACTGCTGCCATATACTAAAATACAGTAAAACAAGTAAAGCAGGACCCAAGGCAGCATGCATAAATGGCATAGCACTTCATATCGTTTACTCCCAGGGTCTAAAATATCTTGGCACATCATTTTTTCTGCTGGGAATACGATACTGTTTACGTTTAGACTGGACAGGCTTACAAAGCAGGAATCTCATGAGGAGCATAAACCATGACAGCATCATTTCTGGTTCAGCCTTTGAGGCTGAGGCCATCAAGGGTAGGAAGGGCATCCAAGAGAACAATCGCCACACACCCTGCCAAATTTTGAAAGCTCAGCTTTAGACAGTACTGCATTGTTTAGTTAAACTACTTCCTACAGAAATAACACACAACCAGCATATTACACTACACCAAATTGCAAGCTGATTTACCCATTGCTGAAGTTTTCTTCCTGAAACATAGAAAGATGTACGGCGCTGAGAAATTACTCTAAAAAGCACAGACTGCTTAGTTAATTCACATGCTTCTCCATCGGACAGATGAAGCTCATTGCCCAGTGGTTAAGTTTGGAATGTCATTACTAAAGTAACAGGTCTTATTTATATAATTAAGTTTCTATTGCTCTAGCCTAGCATACTTCTCTCTGGACACAAAACCTTCCAGATTGATAGAACCTGGAGGATAAGTAACAGCAAACTCAGAACAGCAAAAGTGACCTCTCAGCATGAATATAAGCAAGAGTGACTGGTTCTTAAAGACAGCAGCTAATCACTCGTGGTAACGGTTCAGAGTTCAGACTCAGTGTTAATTTAACATGGTGGGAACATTCAGAATTATATTGGCAACTCTGAGAAGGCAATACTGTTCATCTCTAATTATTCCGATTTAACAGGAAAAATAGTTTTTGTGTGGGAGAAAATAGTGCTCCACAAAGGACCAGATACCCAAAATGGCAATTTGAACAATGTGCTTACTACTAGCAATTCAATTTAAAACCTACAAGCAAGAAATTTAAGAAACCAGCTTACTGGACTGAAAGCTGTTTCAGTAAAGTTTCATAACATTTAATCATGCTGCCTCAGCTCTACCATGCTGCATTTTTTGTGAAGTATTAAAAAGAAAGATGTTAGCAGTAAGGGTAAAAACCTGTCATTCTTTGGATATATACAAGTTGTGCTTTGCTGTGTAAAACAGTTTAATGATAAATATGGACAAATTTCCAAGGTGTACAATTTTAACCTTCAGAATGCTTTCATTAAGTTTCTAAAAAACACAGAGGTCTTTGGCTTCACAATAGCTGAGGCACTTTATAGTGTCCAAGAACACGAAACTAATATATGATTGATTCTCAAAGAGGTACATAGGTGTGTTTCCTCCTTAGATACCCCATTTGGGGACTTCTCCCATAAGAGCACTTTATTTAGACAGTACAGTACTGTATTTTGCTAAAAAGCTTCCTTAGTGTGGCACTATTTTACTGACAATAAATTGCACAGAAATTAAACACATCGTATGAATATTCTGAATGTCACACTAAGTTTTATACTACCAGTGTTCATAACTCAGATGGAACAAGATTGCACAACTGGTAACAAAATGTCCATGGCATCATTTACTTCAATTGCTGAAGATCACTGAAATAGGGGTGATACAGCCCACAGAAGCTGGTTTAATTTCAGTGGAATTTACTTAAACATACTATTGTTCTGACTTGTTTTGAGCCATTAACTCAATCCATAGAGAGTCATTTGTTTCAGCACTTGTATTTTAGTTCTTCAATTCAGTGAAGCCAATGCATTCAACAGGGTGAAGTTAGTTACGGGTAAATCAAAAAACAGAAGCTTGTTACTCCCAAATTGGAGGGGTAAAGGCAGAAAGCCTTGAGCAACCTCACAGACTTGGTCATACTCTTCTGCTTTGTCCTACCGATCTGATACAACAAAAGAATCAGAACAGAAATCAAAATTAAAGCATCCTTTACAGACCAAAGCAGCAGCTCATCAAAATTTCATTTCTGTATTTACTTCTTCAGCAGTAGTCCAAAGGGCAAGCTTCCACTTTCAAATGCCAGGGATTCACCCCCACTGATATCAAAGAGATCTCCACAACTACATCTAAAGCCATGATTTGGCCCCTCATATTTTACTCTGAATAAGCTCTTTCAATAAAGTCTAGGCAGAGAGAGTTCTGGCAATATGACAGCCACATGAGAATCACAGGGAGGTGCAGGAACTGCAGTAACAAAGTAGGAAACAGCCCGTCAAGTCAGGAATTGTGAAGCAGACCCGAAGCTGATGTTATTTGTACTACTGCTATACCAATGTACAGAAGTTAAGGCTAGAGCCCCATGGCTTGCTCTCTTGTAGGAGGTGCATTACATGAACACCAAGTCCCCTAAGGGCACAAATATGAGGGAGGGGACAGAAAAAACACCCAAGCAGCAAAACCTGAGATCATTTTATAAATTAAGAATTTATGTCCTTTGGAAGATAAATTTTCAAACTGATAAAACAGCATTTTCTAAGCACTCAAAAATCACTATTTTAACCCTTAATCCAACTTTAATAAACATTCCATCCATTAATAAAAAACAGGTTAGCACCTTCATCAGTTACAGATTTAATTTCCATTTGAGTCTTACTCTTCTTCAAAGGTAGAGAAAGAAATCGGTGTTCTTTGATTATTTTTTTTAAGCTTCTCTACCTGTTACCATCCATTTCCTACCCTCTCTTCATATTTAAATACATTCATCTGGGTTTCTTCTATATAATGACATCGCCCTTTATTTCTTGTACCACATCATCTGTGCTGATAAAACTGAAAGCTTACATTTCTCAACTAAAGAGTTAACAGACCACTTCTAGAGTTACTTTCCCGTTCTGACTTCTAATTGGGCTACTTCATCATATATACCTGGTGTCCTAAATGGGAGCTGCTGTACACAAACCTAGAACAGTACATATACTATACAGCAGACATCAGTTGCACTTCTTGAAGGAGTTCAACCGGCTTTTTGAAAAACATAACCATTTCTAAAAAGAGAACTGAAAGACTTGAATAGAGAAGTGATCGGTTACAAGAAATGTAAAGCAGTCACTTCAGAATTAACTTACATAAAATAACTTATTTGACTAAAGAATTCTATAGAAGAACATTTTTTTACATCTTCTCTGGGTTAATCACATACTAAAAGTACCTTAACACCAGCACCAAATATGAGTAAGGGACAAAGAACCTACTGATATCAACCAGATGGTTTCACTATTAATGGTTTTTTACATTCTTGAGCTCTAGCCATGATATTACATTAATGCTACATGATTAATGCTCATCTAAAAATATGACAAGTTCATTTGCTTCACATTAACATAAAACAATTAAACTGCCCTCTCTCCAACAGTACAGATTCTTATCTGCGGGTGGGCAGGTGACACATCTAGCAGATGGCACAAACCTGATGTTGTAAAACTTCTGGCATAAGTACTGCTTTCAGCATATCTAATTTTGTGAGTAAACTAATAATAAATACATTACTCAGGAACACCCTAACATGAATATAGTCTAAGAAGGTATGAATTGCTAGTAAGTCAGGTTGCAAATAAAATTGATGTGATTTCAACTTGCCCAAAGACATTTATCATGGCAAGACTTCACTTGCTTTGTACCTGTAGCCCTTTAAAAACAATGACAGGATCATCAGTTACTTTGTGTGTTCTCCTCAGTTCCTCTACTCCTAGCTTAAGCCCCAGCTCGCCACCAATAAAACTGGACGGTTGTATCATCTCAGCCGCGACCACCCTGCCTGAAACAAGTCACCCGTCCCCGCCTAGTGCAGCTAGCTCAGGACGTGTCATCTCAGATCTGTTTTTAAGGCACCTGGTGAGCACGCACGTGCAACCGGAAAGGCTTAAGCCACTCAAAAGACGTTTCTGCTGGGAAGTAATTATGCACCACAGCTGCAGTTACAAACACACCTTTCCTAGCGATCCTTTCAAGTGAGCGCACGGACCACTCCTTTCCTTCCCACAAAGACGTCTTAATGCTTAACGTAGCGAGAATAAACGAAAGAGCGATGAGCTATTAAAACAGCATTGCAACTCTACGGTTCCGGTTCACCAAGAAGCACCTCCTAGAACTCCAAATGAAAAGTAAGTTTGCGTCCGGGCACTTCGAATTTATATATTTTGAAACAAAAACTTATTTACAACCACCTGCTTGCAGGCGTCGCCTCTGCCCGGGATGAACGAGTAAGGAATGCCCCGGAGGCAGAGACGGGGCCGCGCGGCCGGCGGGACGGGCAGAGCCGGGACGGCCAGAGCCGAGCCGGCCCCAGGTGCCGCCAGCTCCCAGCCCGAGGGGGACCGGCACCCCGCCGCACCCCAACTTCCAGAAAGCTCCAGGGATGAGAGACGGGGCGGAGCGGGCGCCGGGCGCCACGGAATCCTCCGGCCCGGCCCGGCCCGGCCCGGCCCGGCCCCCACGGCGGCGGTGCCCCCTGCGCCGGCGGGGCCCGCGCGCCACCACTCGCCGCCGAGCCAAGCGCAGCTCCCCACTCACCGCGCCGCCGCCGCCCGCCTTCAGGCCGACCCTCTTCACCAGCATGATGCAGCCGCCCCCCCTCCACGGCGACGGCGCCGCCACCGCCTTCTCCTCTTCTTCCTCCTCTTCCCCCCCGCGGGCCGGGGCTGGTGGCGGCTTCGATTCGGGGCTCATCTCGCTCCCACCATCCTGCCGGCGAGGCCGGGCCGGAGGAGCAGCGGCTGCGGACCGGGCTTGGGGTAGCGCCCCACGCCCGCAGCCGCCTCCCCCGCCGCGCCGCCTGGGCGAGGCGGGGCTCAGCCGCCGCCGCCGGGCACACGTCACCGCTCGGCCCCGCGGAGCTGCTGCGAGGCGCCGGGAGGCCGCGTGCCAGCCTCTCCGGTGGCTTTGCGCGGAGGCACCCGCGGCTGGGCCGTTAACGGCTGAGAGGCCGCGGCCCCGCGGGAGCGCGGCCGAGGACGGCTCCCAGCTTCCCTCTGAGACTGTGAATCTCTACCAGACTCGCGGCTTGTGCGGCTCCGCTCTGCCGTGCCGGGCCCCCCGGCCCTCAGCCGGCAGGTGGACCTGCAAGCTCGCTTTGCCCTCACTGAAGCACTGCGAGGCCAGCCGGTTATCGTAAGCAGAGCTGACTACTCCCAGTTCGCTGCACGGGCGCAAACCGAGCCGTCTGAGGTACTGTAGTGCAGTAAAGGTGATGGGCTACTAACAGACCGTGAAGAATCAATACAGCAGGCCACTCGCCCATCCAGAATAAGCTGCTCACCAGAGAGCTCAGGACGCCTGCAGGTGGCCAGCGCCGCGAGGCTTTCATCCTGCAGACACTGCCCTCTGTGTTTGATACGTTACTGGGGTCGAGCCATTGTTTTCCCTGATATCTCAGGTGCTTTGTGCTCAGTACCAGGCTGTTCACAAGATGAGAGCTTTGCTAGAATAATAACTGTTTAACCTAAAATGCCGTTTTCTATATGCTGTGTATCTATTTTGTCAGTGTATAACAAGCTACGTATTTGCTAAATGTGGCACATTGTGAAACTTCTATGGTACATTGCACAGCAATTTAACAAGCATTCTCTTTTAGAAAAGTAGTGCCTGTTAACTTGAAAGCATTTCTCTACATGAACTTTTTCTGAAGCTCTGTTTTGTTTAAAGTAGAAATCTGCATTTTAAGAGAAATGTTGGATACTGCGAACTAAATAGATATGCAAGATTATTTTTCTTATTATATGGGGATTAGTATTACATATTATTTAAAATTGCTTTTCCTAGCCAGCCCAAGGTAATTGTGTGCAGAATTTCATGCTTGCTTTCCACTTTTTTCATTCTGGTAGCCTAGAAGCTCCTACAAAACCTTTAATTTCTTCAAAAGTAGTCACCACTATGAAGTACAGTAATAATTTTGCTCCTTTGAAGACTTGACCATTTCTCTGTTGACTTGAAAACCAAGACACTTCATCCCTTAGCATTTTAGGTGTTTGGGAGGTTTCTTTAATTAACAGGCTTCACAGTGCTTCTTCAGTTAGAAAGGTATGAGTTTATAAGCCTAATGTATTAGCTTTTGTCAGTAGACAGGTTTCTGGCTACGACATCAGGTTCATGTAAAAAGTACTGCTTGAAATAAATCATTGTTGTATTTTGAAAAGATCAGCATTAAAATGTTTACATATACCACTTAGGTATTTAATCCAATTCTTACACAAATCAATAGAAAGTCTTCTGTCAGCTTTTATGGCTGATGATTCAGGCTCAATAGATAGCTACTGGTAATTTTATGTCATTATGTCCTTGTCCCATACAGAATTTGAAGTTGGAAGGGTTTTGTTCACTTGCTGAGCTAGGTATATAGTGTTTATTAAGAGCTTGTTAACCAAATAACTGGAAACAAAAAGAAGGAATAAATACTCAGTTTACAAATAGATGTTGCTAGTACAGTTCCTTTCAATTCTGTGCTCTATAGTTTTTCAAATATTCCTAAGTAATATGTTTAAGCTATCTGGAGTGGGGATTAATAATGAAGATATAAAGCTTATTACAGAATGCTATTCAGCATGATCAAAACAATAAATATTTGTAAAAGAATATAACAAAATCGAGCAAATGCTAAAACGTCAGCTGAAAGTGTTGATGCATAAAGATAGGTCATCAAGGGGAAAAATAGTTCTAATTAATCATTGTGTTTATAGATCTCTGAATTAGCTGTTTCTACTGAGGAAAGATACTGGAAACTCTTCTGAAGGCTCAGAAATGGTTAAAAAAGAAAACAGAAATTCTGAAAATATTACAAAATATCTACGCAAGAAAAAAGTTGAAAATACTGTGTCAACACATTGTGAATCCCTGAAGGATCTATGCTGTTCTTATCCCTCTGTCAAAAATAAAGTAATTAACAAAACAAAAAAAAAAAAAAAAAAAAAACAACAAAACAAAACCAAACCAAACAAAAAAAGTAGAACATGGAGACCAGGATGAGCAGACTCATGGAATGACTTCAGTGTATGAGAGATAGCTGAGGAAAGGGAACAAGACAACAGCAGTTATAAAGTCCTGACTGGTAGGGAGAAATTATGTTCTCATTCCTTGATATTCTCTTATAATTCAGGAAGAGGAGTCTCTAAATGGCATAATCAACTAACAAGTTTAAAACAAACAGAAGCGAGTGTTTTCCCAGGCAAATTGTCATTAAATCATGGAACTCATTTCCACAGGATATTTTGGTTCAAAAGTACAAGTGGTTTAATAGGCAATTACGCAAATCTGTGAAATAAAAATTCCATTGAGGGCTATTAAGCAATACAAAGTCCCCAAGCTTTACGAAGCTGGGTGAGTTGGTTGGAAGATCCTCTGCTGTTGCTCATATTTTCCACCCTTTCTGTAAGCATACACTAATGTCTCACAGCCAGGACAGGTGGAAGTTTGGTGCAGCTCTGCATATCTGCTCTTTTATTTTAAGGCTGAAGTTTTGGCAATCTTACAGACTCAGAGTCTTTGAAACAGAAACCACAATAGTGCTGTCTGACCAACTTCGCATGTATCCAGCATCTGGTCTGACAGAAGTATAACTGCCACATGTGTGTTATTTGGTGCATACTCTAGAAAATTAATGATAATTTTTGTCACCACTGATAACATTGTTACTGATCAAAGAAATACCTAAGATTACAGAATCATTTGAACACAGAAGGTGATGTCCTTGGTTGGGCCCAGCTAGGCAGAGCTTGAGGAAGCGATCCCTGCAGTTTGTGCAAGTGCTCTGTCTTGGCAGGGTGCTGATGAAGATCCTCTTACTCAGTGAGCTGTCAGTAAAAATGGCTTGAAGGCTCCTATAAATGAAGCAATAGTGTGTGCGAGTGGTGGGCTAGCTGATTCTGCAGGGCAGACATTTGCCATATTTTCTGCCTTCCGTCTGAGCTATGTGTTACAATAATGTGATCTATAGGTATGATGGACGAGAAACACCCTCCACCTCCTCCTTACTCCATACATCACAGCTCCTGGTGAGAAGAGTTTAGAACTCATGAGCCATCTTTCCTCTTCAATTTCTTTGTTTTATTAAAGGCAAGAGGAATAGAACCAGTGGAATGTGCTCATGCTGCCATTTAGTTGTGTACACTACCGGAATTCATTACTGCTTTGCTCAAATTCATTATAGCCTAGTCCCCAACATTCACCATAGTAAGATTACTTTCTTTTATGCTCTTGGGCCCACTTGTAATTTATTGATTTCCTTTGACCACAGACAACTTTGAAGGAAATCCATGCAGTCAGGCTTCTCCGAGGACAATTGACCAACATTATTTCTACGTTGTACTTTTCTACCTATAACCTCTTACATCTCATAAAATTGGATACTTATCTTTTTTCCCACAGTGTTACTCTAAGCTTTTTCAGACTTTATCCAGATTATACAGTGGATGGTTCCCTGCATGCATCAATCCTTCGTTACTAATCAGAATGGTAGCAAAGATAGTATGCTTTAGGCAGAAACCTGGTGTAGGCAAAACCTGTGAATCTCCGGCTTTTGTTTGCTGATCTTTAGTAACAAAAAGTACTCCAAGTCAGAGGAAGGAAGAGATCAAATCTTACGAGCTATTAAAAAGGAGTCCCACTAGATGGGGTTATAGTTTCAAAGGAAGAGTGTTTTCTAATATGTTTTGAAGACAAGCATTTGTTTGCTTTGTATTTTGTTTAAGTTACCTACATAATTTTATGCAGTTAGAATATATTCTCTTTAGGTCTTCAGCTCATCAGTGAATTTTTTTGACCATTCTTATGTTCAGCACAAGCTGTTCACAGATTTCAGTGGCTGTAAATCTTACATTTTTGTTTGTTTTTTTCTTCTTTGTCCCTAGTATTACTGCAGTACCATTTTATATGCTACCTTATAGCTGTTACAGAAGAAAACTCTGGCGTAAATCATCTTGATTTAGAATTAGTAACATCTTTGGTGCCACAGTCTATGAACCATTTGGAACAGAGATTTTCTTTGTTTATTAATTTTTATGGAGGAAGACTGGTTAGCTCAGAGGTGCCCTATAACTGGGTTCAAATTCTCCTGGAAGCAAATACTAAAGAATTACATTGAATGTAAGTAATAAGTATCTTCTTAGATCCTTGTTACTGCTCAGTTTTAAAAGAGGTTTCTCAAATTATAATTAATCGGATGTAGTAAGAACTGAAAGGAAGAACACATACACACAAATACAGTGAGACCAAATTGAGATCAATAGGCAAAATTCTTTTTCGACATTGCCTCGTTTGTAATTATTTGAAACATATTAATATTCTGGTACCATATTTGTTGTTATGCTTAGCACACTTTCATTTCTCCATCAATTTAATTAATAATTATAGTAATGCCTCTGCATTTTACACTATAAGAATGAAGATGGAAATGTCAACCGTCATTCCCATTCTAATGAAGTTAATTGAATTTGATTAGCACTAAATCACATAAATCTATGATTTTTAATATAAAGTATAACAAGCAGAATTTAGCTTCTAAAATCTCTGGAGGGGAAAAAAAAAAAAAAAAAAAAAGAGTTATGCACAAGGATGGGGTCACAGGGGAATTAAAAGTAGTCAAGTGATAATATCAAATGTTCTGACTTCCAGTAAGAGGTACTGGGAAATCAATAAGCAGCTTTTAAAAAATTACCTAAAACTTATCAAAACTTTGTTTTCAAAAGTGATTTAATATCTCCCCTAGCCATAGTATAAATTTTACTTTAGTTCAGATTTTGAGATTGGATTTCTGACAATACATTGAACCTACAGATAATCATTAGACTACAAGTAAAATCTACAGGTACAACAGGTGAGTAGAATATGAGATGAAGAAAAAAAGAAAAATAACACAAGTGTTTTTAACTTCACTTTCGGCTCACTGATTCTCAATATTTAAAATTCTTTTTTTCAACAAAAGAAATTTCTAAGTGGGAAGCTGTCAGAACTACTGTCATTTACTGTATGAAACAATGACAACAAGTATAATATATATACAACAGCAATTTGTTTTCTTCCAAATTCTTTAAGTGAAATAATTGAGTTTATTAATACATTTCCAAACATGCTTGTTGAACTTCTTAATATGGTTTTTTTTTCCCCCATTGTTCAAAGGAGGCATTAACAAGTGGAAGCTGAGTTACAGAGGAGATCATTGTAGATCAGCCAATCCCAAGGTATGTTATGTTAATTTACCTGTTGCTTGCCCAATGTCTTTCAATTGCATGTCCACATTACACTATAATTTAGCTTTGATGAGACTTTTGTGTTGATACATTTGCTTGACCCATGAATAAGTTCAGGTTTTACTTATACCTGCCATTTTTACTGGCTCTCTGTGATTGAAGCTGAGCATTAATTAAAAAATACTTGGCCCTCATATAGTGTAATATGTTGGGATTTTGATCTTTCGTAGTTATTTTTTAGATCATGCATTAGTACAGTTATTGCACAATTAAGGATTTTAGTATCATCATTTGATCAAAATCTGGTTATGTTTCCAAAAATTTACCAGCTCTTACCATGACTCAGGAGCACTTACAGAGTGAAATAATGTATATGTACATGCCTCTAATAGTCTTAAATGTATAAACTGTTTGCATAGTAGTTTGTGTCCTTTCTGAATGAAGAATCGCATAGCCACATGCTATTTTACTTTATTGGTTGCAGCAGCATAGCTTTACTAGCCTTCAGGAGAATTCAGGAAAATAGGTTACTGAGTCAGAAAATTTGTTATTTATAAATTGTTTTCATTCTGATAAATTTCACAGAAAATGTGGATGCTGCAGAGCTGCTTGTATCCACAGACCTGGGAACCTTCCAGCTGCCATGACACTGTCTACCACAGGATACCAGATAAGGTGTAAGAGGCACAAGATAAGGTGTTTTATTATGGTTAGGTCAATATTCTTGTAGAAAGTTGCAAGGCTTCTTGGCCGAGTGGAAGAGGAAGAAGAGGACAGAAGCATGCCAAGGTCTGCTCATGTCTCTGTCTAGGGGCTGCAGCTGTCAAAGACAGGAGAAGCACCAACTGAAGCAGCCACCCTCTGATGCCCCTTGCCTCCCTGCCCAGGGCTCTCCCAGCCTCATACCAAAGCTGTCCATTACATGCCTCCCTGATGGCCACAAGACACCAGTGCTGGGGCCACCACCAGCATTCTACCCACTCTGGCATGGGCAGTACCTCACTAGGGCTAGTGCCAGCAGCTCAGCCCCAGGGTACCCTGTGAAAAAGGGCACAAAACTCCCTTTGCCCATGGCTTTAGGTAGCTTCCAGCTCCCTCAAAGGCCACCGTGCGGTAGGGGTTGGTGCTGCCTTACCTGTCCTGTAGACTGTTGGAACATGTGCAGCTTACTTGCAGAGGAGGGAAAGGACAGGAGGGTGCTGTGGCCTGCTGGCTTCCCTGTCCGGATGTCCAGCTGCAGTAGAAAGCAGCCATCCTCCATCACCATGGGCAGCCCCTGCCCTCATGCCCTCCTGTCCCTGCCCAGCACAGAAGTAAGTGGCATGGAACAAGAGGTGAAAAAAGGTGGGCCTGTAGGAAAATCCAGGTTGGAAAGCATGCCAGGAAGTCCCCCGTGCAACCTCTTGCTCAAGGCAGCATCAGCAAGGAGGTTTGGAGTTTTCAGATCCATTCTTTTTTAGATCAACGGAAACATTTTTGCTGAGAGCTATGTGGTGACTCCACATGTGTTTGTGACTTCTGGTGTGGGTGTGACTGGCCAAAACTATTGACTGTGGGGTTGCCAGTGGCACCTTTTTGGAAAGAAGCTGCCCGGGCTTCCCCTTCAACACAGGCTCTTCAGGCACTGCTCCTAAACACTCCTTCTGCCGTGTGGAAAGTCGACTTTACAACCAGTGAGGTTATACAGTAGGTATGTTTATTCAGCACTGGACACATGGGGGATCACTCCTCCACAGCGTGCGTGCCCTGGAGCCAAAAGCGGCCCCCTTTTATGATGCCAAAGTTACATATTCATCAGTCTTAATACATATGCATTATAATTCCAGGAATAGGGAGGAAATATTACAATTAATTCCGAGAAATCATTAACATATCCCCCGCCCCAAGTCCCTCCCCATCGCACCTGCGCAATGTATCTTGGTGGTCGTGGACAGGGGTCTTCTGATGAAGGCTCGTAGTCTTCTTCACTGTGTTTGCTAGTTGACCCTTGCTTTCGCGCAGACTCAGTTCTGTAGTTAACGCACATCTCATCCTTCAGGCCTTGTGGGATGTGGTTTGTTGCTAACTTGCAGCTCCTTTATCTTGGTGGCTCAGTAGTTCCTTCCTTATCTCAAGGACAATGGTGCGCTCATCCTGTTTTTCTCTCATTCATTCGCGAGGGAGTTATCTAGTTAATGTTTTCTTGAGAAACCATCTGGTTAATGCTTCTTCATTCATACATCACTTCCTCCAGTGCTTCCACCAGTGGCCAAACTTTGCTGTGCTTTCATGGCAGCCTGCTTCTGGGCTGTCCCTGGAAACCTGGGAGGCTTGGAGGCCAGAACTTTGCTGCCCTGATAGAGATCAAGCCAAGGCGTGTGCATCGGCAAGAGGGCCTCATTTCTCTGGGATGGGTATTGCTACCCAGCCAGTGCGTCCCCAGAAGAGCAGAGTAAGCCCTGCCTGCCTGCCAGGTACAGCCACGAGGTGTCTTGACTGGAGGAGTCAGGCTGCTGTTGTAGAGGAGTGAGAGGGAAAGTCTAAGACTGGTGTGACTGGGGAGCGACCAGAGAGTCTGGGTGCAGAGGCACCAGCAGGAGGTGTAGTAGAATTTCTGACAGAGAATGGCCACGATATTTTGTTGCAAGGTTTGGACAATCCAGGCCTGAGATCAGACTGCTAACAACACCTGTGTTATGAAAATGACCTTGAAGGGCTGTGTTGTGAGGAACTGTATCTGTTAATGAGGAATTTTCTCAGCTATGTATCTTGGCTAAGCTAAGCACAAGTATGCAGCAAACCGCAAGATGCTTGCCTATCACAGTTTCCCTTTGGGTGCATGATAAGTTGCTTATGACCAACAATCAAGGGGTATGGGGCGCGTGAACAGCGGGTGCTTGCTTTGCAAAGTATATAACCAAGCGATTCAGGCAATAAAGGGAGATGACATGTAGCCACATCGGTGTGAATGTCGTTACTCGGGCCACTCTCCGTATTGGGACCCTCTTCAAGGAGGACCCATCAGGGATGGGCCTGTCAGCATGGCCTGCATCCATGCCAGGTGGGAGATGCACAGGTCATTGGGACCTGCAGCCTGGCGGCTGCTCAAAGGGCTTGGACAGCCCTGCGCTGGCGCTTGGAAGTGAGAGGCTGGGAGAGCCTCTCTTGCAGCAAACCAACAAATGCTGCTGCTCTGGTTGTAGCAAAGCAACAAGTTAATCAAAGATCTTAAACGTACATTAAAAAAACTCATCATACACCCCAATAAAGTCTCCTCTGGCTTTCCTGCACTGCTGAGACAGTATTGGAAAGCATTCCCTACAGTGGGTAACTCTTTGGGGAAAAAAACAGCCCCTGGAAAGCATCTTAATGTTTATTGGATGCAACAGCAGGCAAAAAGCTGAGCTCACCGCACTGTTCTGCTGATGTGCTTGGAGGCTGCAGCTGCAGGGCCAGGCGGGTGCTCCACTGTTCTCAGCGGGGTTTGCTCCCCAGAAGCGCTGGGTGCTGGAGCTTTCTGGGAGGAGGGCCCCAGTGCTGTGCTCTGATGCTGCACTCCGTGGCTCCCACAGGCCCCTTTCTGCCGGTGGGAGGGTTGTCATCAGTGGCCGACCTGTGCAAGTTGTCATGCTGCTCTGGACCCTCTCTCTGACCATGTCCCTCCGGAGGCAGTTGGACTAGGGGATAACGTACTTCTTGTAGTCATCGTGCTCTTGCACTGAGTGCAGAAGCAGGTCAAAATATTGTCTGCAGAGCAGACACCTAGCTCTCCTTCTGGCCCAGTCCTCAATGCTGGTAAAGTAGGATCGGTCGGGTCAGACAGCCACGTAGGCCACATCCTCACTGTCTCCCAGGCAGATGGGGCACTGGGAGCATTCTGCTGCCTTAGCCATCACCCTTCAGGGTCACTGATGTGGTGCTGGCCTCTTGTTGGCTGGAGAGGCCTCAGAGCTGCTTGTTCTCCTCTTTGGGGTCACCATGGCCCCTCAGGGTAGCGTTCGCTGCCCGAGCTGGAAGTGGAGGGCCTGGGCACTGCCTCCCCTGGCTCTTCCTGGGGCTCTTCTTGCTCCATGGGGATGGCAGCAGGAGCAGAGGGGTGACTGCTGGGGCCCCCACCAACAGCAGCCAATGAGGTGCTGGGGAGCAGCTCCACACTGGATCTTCCAGGGCTGCCAGAGGGGGCGAGGCCAAGGCCAGGAGACCATCCTGGTGGCTCAGGAGACAACGGGCCTCCCGGCTGCACGGTCACACAGCAACATGGATGAGCTGTTGCATGAATGTCACTGTGTGGTTTTGGAGGGAGACCCCCAGCGTTCAGACCAGCAGCTCTTCATCCATCCCGTGGTTGGTCAGGATGGCCATGATGGTGTCCTCCACCATGGCTGCCTTCACCTGCTTTTTCCTAAAGATCTGCCTCAGCCATGGTTGGACCCAGGGCAGCAGTGTCTCAAGGAGGGAGAGGTGGTCCTGGAAAGGGTTCGCCCATTCCTCAGACTGGAAGCCACCCACAGGAGGCCTGGGCACCCCTTCCTCAGCCCATGGTTGGGGTGTTCCAGGGTGATGGAGGTTGTGGGCAGCTCGGTGACTGGACACAGCTCCAGCCTGGCGGATGACAACTGATGATGTCATGGATGGTGTGACAGCATGCTCCATGTAGTCATCGTCTGCCAGCACCGAGTGCAGGATGGAGGTAATCCTCCTCATGCAGAGGGGGCACTCGGGCTTGCTGTCAGCCCACCACAGGATGCATGGGTAGCAGAACTGGTGGAGGCATGGCATCACGTAGCTGGCCTCCTCCCAGCTGTCCGGGCAGATGGGACAGTGGTCCTCCAGCTCCGTGGCCATGCTCACCGCTCTCTGCGGTGGGATTGGGGAGCTGTGGATGTAGAGCTGTTCCCTCTCACCAGTGCTGCAGCAGCCAATTTTGTGCAAGAAGAGGAAGAGAGGCCACGGTCAGTGGTTAGCCGAAGCAGGGGTGGAAGAAATGCCCAGGTCCCTCAGGATGAAACCCTTCTAGCTGCTGAGGGTGAGGTGTCCCTGCCCAGCTCACCTCTGCTGCTGCGCACGCATGTCCTGGGTGCCTCAGTTGCCTAAACCTATCAGGGCTGGGAAAAATCCTTCAATGGCTCTGGGGTCGGACACAGAGATCTGCAAGGGACAGCTCTCCAAGCACAATACCAGCACCAAAGGCCTTACTCAACACTCCAACTTTGTGACCTCGCTCAGCCAGAGTGAGGGCACAGCCCATCTGGGTGAGACTTGGCTCCTGGTTATAAGCACCAAGGGACGCCTGGTCACAATCCATCACTTGGGGACATCACAGTCCATCACTTGGAGATATCTTCCCTGTGTCTTCCTCAACACCTGACTCCATTGTCTTTTCAAGAGAGACGTGCAAAGTGCTGGACCTCATCTGGTGCTAGGAGGGCAAAAGCCAAGCAAGCCCCAGAAGGCTGTGGGAGAGGGAGGCAAGGGCCTCCCGAGGGCTCTCCTTGCCAGCTGGAAAGCAGCAGCCGCAGCCCCGTGGGCCAGCCGGCCAGCCAGCCCCAGGGGCTGCCCTGCACCCCTGCCTTCCCGCGTGGGCTCCCCCAGGCAGGCTGCCCGCGCCGGACGGAGAGGTGCCGGGGAAACCTCCTGCCCAGGCACGGGGGGAAGGCAGGCTTGGGCAAAGGGCCCTGGGCAGGCGGAGCGCGGGTGGCTCTGGCGGGGAGAGGCTCCAGCTGGGGCTCGGCAGGAGCTGGGGCAGGGCAGAGAGACGTGGGGACGAGATGTGCCCTTGCCTCTGCGCCCCCGTGGACGTGGGCTGCAGGGAGGGAGGGAGGGAGAGCAGGAGGGAAGATCCACCAGGACCTCCTTGGCACCTCCCCAGTGCTCAAGCCACCTGGTGCAGGCTCTGGCGAGGTGTCCTGGGGGACAAGCTATAGTGCACAAGCCCTAAGACCACAACATACCACCAGGTTAGCATAGAGCACCTCCAGAAGATGGTCTAAGAAGACAGAGGAGCTCCAAAGAATCCTGTGCTGGGTTTGTGTATCTGTGACAGAAGGGCTTAATAGCAGGGTAAGAAGCTACACTTGTAGCCCCTGTAAGAAGCTTCTCGAAGCTCCATCCGCTCTATATCAGACCTGTCTCTGGCCAAGGCTGAGCCAGTTAGTGATGATGGCCATGCCTCTCTGATAACTATTTAAGAAGGCGAACCTGGGAGGAGGGTTGGGAGTTGTGAGCAAGGCACCTATGCAAGCAAGGAGGTCAGTGGAAGAAAAACTGGGGGAAGGAGGTGTGCCTTACTTCAGGTTTGTTGGGTCCTGTGGTGAGAGGCTTGTGCCCCAGGCACTTGGTAATGGGCAGCCTAGCAATGCAGGGAGGGAGTCCTGGTGAGCTCCTTGATGCTAACAAAGCACCCTGACTCAGCTTCTCTCTGGGGAGAAAAACCCGCCCCTTGTCTCAGGAAGGGAAAACCCCTGAGATAACAGAATGGTTGAGGTTAGAAGGGGCCTCTGGAGGTCACCATGTCCAACATCCCCACTCAAGCATGTTCATTGTAGAGCAGATCGCACAGGACCCTGTCCAGGGGGCTTCTGTGTGTCTTCAAGGACAGAGAGTCTACTAGCTCTCTGGGCAGTGGTATCACACTGATATGACTTTGGGGGAGGATATCACAGGAAGGACATATTGGTTGTGTCAGAGAAAGATATACATGTTGTTTAAACCATACGGGTAACAAAGGTCAAAATTAGGTATTACAGGAAGCAGTACAGACAATTGTTATGGGTGAGCTGTGTAATACCTAAAACCATACAGCAAAAATTACTGACAAAAATTGAAACATTAGTCCATGAGATCACTTACAGCTGCCTGTGTTCTGTAAAACCCTATGAGTGGTAACTTGCTACTGTTCAGGCTAACACGCTTAAGAGGAAATTTTATGTAGTTCTGTGATCCATAGCTGCAGGATATGGGTAATTTTTTACTTTTTACCAGCAGTTCTGTAAGCAAATTTCAATTCGATTTGTCTTTAATTTGTGTACAGCCATAAAAGTGATTGATATGCATGAGTATTCAAAACATTTGTAATGAATTTGCTTCAGATTTATCTGTGCAATAAGGAAGATGGGGTTTCCATAATTTCTATTAATAGCTGTCAAGTATATTATATGCAAAGATGATGTTATCATTCAGGAACAAAGTGTCATTCACTGTGAACTAAAGAAGATGCTATGTACATTTTACATTTGTTTTTCATAGGAATACATCCAAGGATACATGTCAATTTAGGTTTTCTGCTCAAAGCAGTCCTGGGGTACTTCTTTACAAGGTGCTTTACTGTTAAGTACATGAAAATATTATAGCTAATTTAAGCAAACTTAGGTAAATGTCCTTTTAAAAACTGTTAAAAGATTAGCATTCAGATATCTTCAAGAATCGTATTCCTGATGAATTGTAATAACTAGTTGGCTTGAATGTTTTTCTCTACTGCTTGATGTGTAATTACCTTATAGCAGGGGAAAGGACGAGGAAAAAGTCAGCTGAGCATTAGCATTTTCCTCTGTGGTATTGCCCATTGCAATTTCTGTATCAATTATAAAGCAGTTGCTCAACATAGCAGCTCTGTATTGCAAAATCTAGGATGCACAATAGCTCCATTTAACGCTGATTAGAGACACATAATTGTCTGGACATCAACTTGACAGAGCTACT